AGCAGGATCGTAAGTACAAAACTTGGCTAAAATCATTAGACCTTTGCTTTAATGTGGAGTACATAATGAAAAATTATCCTACTCGTGAGGATCATCTGTCATAATTTCACCCCCTCCCTTAACACATGTTCTACCAACTTACAATATTTAGGAGTTACACAGAGGTCTATAACTGACCCTTTCATTTTGTAAACTTTTATCAGATAATTTGGTGCATGACTTTGTTTTTATTTTATTGGTATAGTAATATTTCTGTGCTGATTTATTTTAGGTCTCAAGTATGAAGTTAAGATTAATTGACAAACCTGAACTGAAAATTTCATGTGATCTGCTGATTACTGTTTTTCATGTATTTTTAAAAAGTTTTTGTTGTGAAATATCTTTGGAGTAGATATACTGACTGAAAATAATGCTTTGTAGATCAAATTCAGCTATTCCACTGAAATTTTTGTGCAATAGCAACTCAGTGCTCATTAATATACTGCTTTTATGGATGAGACCCTAACAGAACCTAATCTTCATTTCCCAATACAGGTCCTTCAAAAGGACCAACTGTTCAGACGAAAAAAGTAGGAAAAGCTGAAGCTGTTTTGACATGGAACCATCTCACAGTGGATGAGCAAAATGGGTTTATCAGAAGTTACACAATATTTTATAAAACTGTTGATGGAAATGAAACAGGTAACAGAAAGTAGAGAACTGCTTTGTAACACTGAAATATTCATCTGCTTCCTTCCTCATATATGTTCCTGAAAAACAAAATAGAGACTCACGTGTGGTTGACACTCTGTTCAAAGACAAAAAGCAGATGTCTGAGGTGTGTGGTTTGCATGAGACATACACTGGAACACCTGTAGCTCTGCTACATGCCAAACAGAAAAGTCCCTAATAAAGAATTCATATCGCTCAGTCTGTTCTAAGGTTCTAAGTTTAGTTTCTGAAAGTTGATTTGCAAGTATTTTGCCCCTATCTTTCTATCTAAATACAGGAGAAGATGGTGGTATAGCAAGATAAATCTAGACCATTCAAGATAGAAATGAGTTGCATGTATTTAACTATGATAAACCCTTACACAGAAATGGATTTCTAATCTTGATGCTCTAAGTTAACATATTGCTGATTTGAGACACATTCTATGATGTGCTTTTTAGTTATTACTATTGCAGGCACAGACAGGGTGTTGCACTATCAGATATTTTGTTTTCTTTTTTAGATCTGCTTAAAGCAGAAGGGCCAGTCACTTATGCCTACACTAGTTTGAATTTCTAGATAAGCATGTGTCCTGCTTATTAATTAGCAGGCCTTTAAGACTGGCAGCTTTACTACTGGTTTATTTTATAGCCGCTTTTTGAAAAACACATTAAAGAAGTTAAAAGTTAACAGTATCAAGAGAGAGACTAAATCAGTCGATTCAAAACCCTTACACAGAAACAAATGAATCTCAGCACTCCTTATACAAGTTGCTAGTTTTGCTATTTCTGTTGTATTTTCCTTGCAGCCATGCATTCCTCTAAAACAGTTTTGTACGCGTGAAGTCGTGGCGACTGTGTTTGTGCAGATCTAATAATTTGTACAGAAAACTGATATACGTTTTTTTCCTCTATTTAGCTGTGACAGTGGATCCTTCCAAGACAGAATATACCCTTTCTTCTCTAGCCAGTGACACATTGTATACTGTGCGGATGATGGCATACACAGATGAAGGAGGCAGGAGTGGTCCTGATTTTACATTTACTACACAAAAATTTGGTAAGAGAGCGGCAAAATTAATAGAAGTAGGAGGTAATGTTGCAACAGTGTAGCAAAACTCAGTTCAAGACCTGGTAGGAGGGGAAGGTAATTTTATTTAAAAAGATTATTCCAGTCACATTGTTATACTTGCAAGCGATTCTTTGCAATTGTACAGAGGAAAAGGGACACCATCTGTCCTCTGCAGGTCTCCTAGATTGGGGTTTTGTTTGTTTGTTTGTTTGTACCCTCAGGAGCTGACCCTGATTAATCTTTTCTCCAGCAGTCATTAGGATTTACTCACTGCCTTTGCCTTCTTATCTGATGGCTTCAACCTGGTCTTTAAGACACGATGGCTGGAAGATAATGGCCTGAGTCTTTGTTTTTAGTCTGAGTGTAGATTGGCCTTTGTTATCCTCATCAGGGGGTCCTGAGAAGCTGCGGAGAGGTGTGCTTGCGATCTTGGCCTGCTAATCTTGATGTTGATCGGCACATGCCATTCTTAAAATCCTCCTTTGGCTTCCAGTCTTACATTCCTATTCACATCACTGCTAAAGTCTCTGTTGCAATTCTCTACAGAAGCTTGTTTTGAAGAGTTAAATATCCATTTATTGTGTGTGTAGCTTTAGAGAGTGCTTTCTGTTGTAGTGGTAAGAGAAACAAAATTAACTGAGCTCTGGTTTGGAAAGTACTTTTTTAGATTTATAATTTTTTGATATTTTATTCTGTATAGCTTTACTCTTCCCTAAACTTTCTGTAAGGTTTACTTAAAACTGTGTATAACATACAGGAAGGAATAGGTTACAATAATGCAGCCTTTAGTGTTTGCAAGCAGAGGATATTTTCACGTATAAAGTAAATGGATGGATGACTAGTGGCTATGCTTGCTTTAGCCATTTGACCATACCATTGATATGACAGCTGGTAGGCCACTAGAACAGTTGGACCACAGATACATTCATACAGATGTTACTGTCATATCTGTCTAAAGTGTAAAATTACTTGCTCCATCAGTATTACGGCTTCTAGAGCAACCTGCCATTTTTATTGATGCTTGCCTTATTGTTTGGATGCAGCTTTTCATGGTTCCCCCAACAGGCTTTTCCACAGAGTGAAAAGGCTCTTCTGTAGATGAATCTTTCAGAGTAAGCCCTGTGGTTATATCCTCTTTCAGATTCTCTCTGTCTCTGTGGGAATGCTTACTGTAACTGAGTTCCTTAAATACTATAGAAAGAGCTATAACTGCTTATTTTACTTTTTTCAGGGAAAGGAGAAATTGAAGCCATAGTTGTACCTGTGTGCCTAGCTTTCCTGTTGATTGTACTCCTTGGAGTTTTGTTTTGCTTTAACAAACGTGACTTGTAAGTATAAATGAAGTACATTTCTCTTATGCTTTTGATATTTCTGAGCATGACAGAGACATGGCCATAATTATAAGCAAATAAACGCCCTGTACTTCAGTGAGGAATGAAAGGTAAAACTCTCATACGTTGATTGGTGATAGTAATGTCTGTTTTCCTTGAGAAACTGGAAAGTTCTATGATACTGATTCTACTTCTTACCTACTGTTAATGATTAGCACTCAAACTTTGCTCTTCTAGCTAAGTTTTGGTTAGGATTAGGTGTGTTAGGTTTTGGTCAGGATATACTGTCTCTTTTTATTGTTAATGTATTCATCATATGAAAATGATGAGCATCATTTTGTGAGGCACAGAAGAACCTGTTTTATGGCTCTATTTGAGCTATTTAATTAGTGTTTTAGCAAACATTTTTAAGCTTTGCAACTGAAAAAATTAGGCAGATGTCTTATCTTGCATAACCTCTGTCAAATTCCGTTCCTGTTTAGTAGTTGCTGGTGAACACCTTCCTGTCCTTCCTCCTCTTCTGTGCCCTTTACCCTAGAGCTCTTATCTGGTGGCTTTAGCTAAGAGCTTATTGCTGAAGCCTTTCGCCTGGTAAAGAGCAGCACCTTTCACATGTTCCCCATCAGACATCTTTTCTTTCCGGTTAAAGACAGCACTTTATGCCCTTTTCCTTCTTACCTTTCTGCTTCTCCTAACACTAGTTCTTAGTGGACTTCAGTTGAAAAGCCCATCTCGCAACACATTAAGACTTTTCCTACAGAGAATCTGTTTTTGGAGCCTGTGTATGGAGTAAAGAGTAGGACTGATGAATCTATTTCAAAGTAAAAGTTTAGTTGAGGTATTTTATTTGTGACCTAGAGAAACTTCTGCTGTTAAATAAGTTATTACATTTTTAAATTTAAGAGTTCAGACTTTAAAAAGATTAAGCAATTTTTTCTTTAAATGTTTTTCATGCTTTTTCATTTTGCGAAGGTTTAATGTTAATGACAGCTGTGATATGCCTCTGTATTTAAGAATTCAGTTATACTGAAGTAGCAAAAATGTATTTTTATATTGCTATGCCTCATAGTCTCCACTTCAAATGATTGCTCTGCAGCTTCTAGAACGCTATACATTTGAAATCCTCTCTCTCCCTTTGCCATGTGTGGATTTGCCTTCTTTATAATGTGGGTACAGCTAATGCGTGGAGGAGTTGTAAGTGCAATGCCGATTTTACTATGTAATACAGCTTCTTACAAAGATGTAAGGAATTGCAGGAAGTGTTTCTATATGGAAATGCAAAAATGGGCTCACACTTGAAAAATTGCTGTGTAAGGGACCGGTGTCCTGGATTATTGAATGCTTACTACCAATTTGAGGAATTTGAGGAGTGCATCTTTTAACTTTATTCTATTTCTAATCCTCTACAGAATTAAAAAGCATATCTGGCCTAATGTACCTGATCCATCCAAGAGTAATATTGCTCAGTGGTCCCCTCAAGTTCCAGCTAAGGTATCATTCATTTTTCTGCATCCTCTATCTTGGTCCATAAGGTTTTAAATAAACTGACCAGTGGGAATCTTCTCCCTTCTAGCGCACACACAGATTTCAGAAAAAAAAACCCTGAATGTTAAGTTTCTTGATATTACAATATGATATGGGTAGAAGACTTTATTGCAGCAATAGATTGAGCATTATGGATATATGTCCTTCGCAGAAGCTCACAGCATAGAGCAGGCTTTAACATTGGGCCTTAAATTCAGTTTACTAGCTTGAAGGGTCAAGCACACTAATTATTTTATTCAGCCACAGGAAATCAGGATTAGGTCAACGGAATTCTTCGTTCTCATTCATAAAACCTTAAAGTTACTTGTTTGTACAATAAAGTAATGAATGAGAGAAACCTCTAACAGAGCTACTCTTGGATGAGGAAAGCAGCAGCAAGTTTTATGCCCTGTGTGGAATGGAGGACACAGCAAATTCTTTTCAAGAAGCTTATTACCAGCTTCTGTGAAAAAGTGCTTTGATGCTGAATGTGCTATTGGAAGTAGTGTATTTATGTATGGCCTCAATCCGGAATATGCCTATGCTGCACAATGAATGGGATGGTGTTTACAGCACTTCAGAACAATTGAAATTAGAGAAAAGCTTGCATGCAATTATAGTTTTAGAGTGTCTGTGTAATAAAGACTTTGTACTGTACTTTGTACAGCTGCATCCTTCATTTGGTAACAGATACTTGGGAGATACTGCCAAGTTCTATAAGAAGGCCACTTATATAATAATCTCAAGGCAGTTACAGGGTAGGAACTGAGATATTAACGTACTTTTTTTTTTAAACTTACTTAACCATTGTCTTAGGCAAAATCAATTTATTTCTTTCAGCATAACTTTAGTTCCAAAGATCAGATGTACCCAGAAGGCAGCTTTACCGATGTAAGCGTCGTAGAAATAGAAGCTGATGACAAGAAGTCTTTTTCAGAACAGGATTTAAAACCCTTTGACTTGCTTAAAAAGGAAAAAAGTACTTCAGAAGGGCACAGCAGTGGTATTGGAGGATCCTCGTGCATGTCTTCTCCTAGACAAAGTGTCTCTGACAGCGATGAAGGTGAAACTACACAAAACACTTCAAGCACTGTACAGTATTCTACTGTAGTACTTAATGGCTACAGAGACCAAACACCTTCTGTACAAGTCTTTTCAAGATCTGAATCCACACAGCCACTGCTAGATTCAGAAGAGAGATCAGAAGATCATGCTGGAGGGAATGACAGTACAACACAGAGGCATCAGTATTTCAAACAAAATTGTGGTCAGGATGAAGCCAACACAGACAGGCCATGCTTCGAAAGAGCAAAGCAAATTACTCCTGCTAATGAGGAGGATCTTGTTGGATTTGCACAGCTGCAGATCTCAGGTCAGAATTCACAGCCCTTGGGCCTTGGGCTGGAAAAAAATATCCAGGAAGGTGCTCTGTTAAATGTTATAGAGACAAGTACTGAGGGACAAACTGTGAGACCTGAAACAGTGGAGGGAAATCCAGCATCAGCTGATGAGATGCCAAAAAGTTACCTCCCACAGACTGTGAGACAAGGGGGTTATATGCCTCAGTGAGGGAAGAGACTGGCTCTATTAGGCCTTCATTAGTGCCTGTTCACACTTTCTCCTGTGTTTCTGATAAATTAAGCTAAATATTTTTTATCTGAATGCAGATAAAAATATTGAAATTTAAGTGAAGAATAATTTGACAAAGTATGTAAGGACTGTGTTTCTGTGGAAAATTTGCAGTCCAGACCTACTGGAGACTTACTTTATGCACTACATAAAATCTTACTTGTCTGAATAGCTGAACAAGCCTTTGTGCTACCTTGCTTTTTTGTGTCGTGTTGTATCAGATTTACACATGATTGAAAATAAGCATTTCAACTAATCATATCAGCCAACAGACCTCCTAGAAGAAATACTTCAAGATTTGTAACAGTGTAGACAGCCAGCTTTTATTGTTTGGAGCGTCTTCATGTAAAAGTAAGACTTGAGGTTTACTATTCTAATGCGGGGAAGAATACTTAAACTGTACATTTTTCAGTAGCGTGATTGACTTTCTGAATTCTGATTTGGCCCAGTGTCATAATTCCTAAATTATGCAAATTATGTTCACCCCCATTTAAAAACTGAACAGAAAATGTAATGGTGTGCAAACAGAAAAAAAATGCCATGATTGCTTGACTCTGAATGCTACTGTAGTAATCAGTATTCTGCTTATATACAGATATATGTGCACATAAACTATAACTTGGCTTAAAACGTGCCTTGCAACTTGTTGCACAGCAATTCAGTCTTCATGTTTGAAAGTTAAAAATCCAGATGAAAACTTTTTTTTTTCTTAAAGGATTTCTACCCAAATTCCTGTCTAATTATACCACAGCTCTTTGGTCACCTAAGATGCCTTTATTTAAGAAGTACACCTTTGCCATACACAGCTTGAGGCAAGTAATGAGCTGTAACCATTTAATATTTTTCTAAGTATGCTTAGGAGAAAAGCAATGTGATCTCCTTCCTTCTTGACAGCAAAGATTAGTATGTTGTAACTTCACTGCTAACACCCAAGGACTTCCTTGAAACTGAAAGGAGCAAAAACCAAAGCATTGATGACTGATGCTATGGGGGCGGTACCCTATACCTTGAACTTTAAAGTTAATGAGAACTGGCAGTATGTAGCTGTTGTTCTTCTTTTTTTTTTTTTTTTTTTTTTTTGTTAATGTCTCATTTCCCTCCTGTTCATAGAGTTTGCATCTTATTCAAGAAAATGTATTTCTTGAAGATGGTCACTACTAGGGTTTAAGGAAATAGCTAGCTCTTTAAAAAAAAAAAAAAAAATTGAACACCTTCCCTGATGATAAAGTTTTATGGTACTCCTATAGATTAATTTAACTTAGTCTAGTCAGCTTTCTAATCTGAGATTATAAAATCTTATTTCAAAACACTGTGTGCTGTGTTGTGAGAATACAAGGGTTTTATTTCTCCTTCAGCAGAAGATCTATATATATAAGACCTCCTGAAACTTCTCGTGCTGTGAGCTTTGGTGCTGCTGTTCTAAACGCCCTTGCTGGAAGGCCGTGGAAAGATAGGTGTCAGTGTACTTTTAACTTCCCTTGTTCCTTTTCTGCCAGCTTGCATTGAAGGACTGATGTAAATATAAGTGTTCATGTGTCTTCTGTTGTTGTTGCAAAGAAACTAGATGCTAGAGTAAATTTATACGATTATCCCTTGAAGTCGCTGCTATTCAAAATAGATATAAAGAGTTAAATCTTTAATAATGTCATTTTATTCAGTATTTTGCAATTCCTTTCTCCCAACAGCACATTCATTTTAATGAACAGCTTCTAATATTTTTAGTATCTAGGCACCTTTTTTTTTTTTTTTTAAACTAAGTGCTTAATGTAACTATACCTTCAGAACATTCCTTGAGTAGGTCAGTCCCCCTCCTTTTCTCCCCATTCCACCTCAGCACCTTTCAGCTCTCCCCCAGGGGGCAAGGACATGATATAAATTACACTGTCAGTAGTTCCCTGGAGAAAGTGCCTTTTGGTTTTTGAGAAGTCCAAGGAGCATCCTTTTGTCAGAACACATTTTTCTGAAAATAATAGTAGTTAGTTTATTGGGAAATGCATGTGTCTTCTCTATGCAGGCTTCACAAGGACTGTAGAAACCACAAGTAAAATGTAAAGCCTCAGTTGAGCCATCTGCATGCTTAGTAGAACTATCCTGCAGCCGCACATTGGCTAGTCGACTATCTGTGAAAGTTTGTGGGCCACAAGAGTTTCAGCGCAAGTCTTTTTGTTAAACTGCCCCTCTGTTAGCCTCTACTCACTAATTTCTGTGGGATTTATTGAACTTGGCTGCTTATTCTGAATATTGCTTCAGAGACCTAGATGTCTTCAAATGCAGGTTGAGGATACTAACTTTTGATAGCATTTTTTTTTTTTGAAGGATGACTACAGTTATCCTAAAGATGTGTTTTGTCCTTTCTGTTAAGTAAAGGGAAAGCACTTTGCTCTTAAATGCTGTTAATCCTGAACCATTTCCTAAATTAGGCAGTGTGCTAATAGGAGTTTGGCCTGTCACTTCTGGAATCTTACGTTGTTCGTTGTGTGTAGATCAGTGGTAATAATCACAGAGGATTATACAAGAATGTATCTTCGAGATAACGTAATTCTACCACATCAATAGAATTATCTATTTTGCCATCCTCTCGTGCATTTATCTAGCGCTACAATAGTACAGACTGAGCAGGAAATACTTGTGGATAAACAGCTTATAGAAGCCACAATAAATATAAATAGCAGGCCTTACAGCTTCTTCATAAACCTCTGTGCCAAAATATTACATCATATAGTTGGGGTTTTTTTTAATTTGTTTGGAACATAAGCTGATTGTATACACACTTGCACACAGGTTTTAGAGTGTATGTGATGTAACGCATTGTAGCAGTTCCCTGAAATTGTCTGAACTTGGCCCTCTGTCTAACATTATAATTAAAGGGAAGGGTTTTGTTTTTGTTTGTTTTAATAACTCTGGTGCACTTTAAAAAAATAAAGGCATTAAAATATAACCACACTTCAGTATTGACACTTTAATGCCCTTGATTACCTAGACTGGAATTGTTCAGGTGGGGGTGGGAGAACAGTTGTTAAGACCTTGCTACTTTAGTGGTAGGGAAGGATGGCTATTAAGAATTGAGTTTTTCTCTATATTAGCACACTTGGAATCTCTGTTAAGTGCAGGCTAGCTAGCTGCTTTTCTGTTTGCAAAAAGAATGAATATATTTATTTCTACAGTACTGTTGTGATTGTTCTGTTAAAATAGGGGTTTGTTTGGGTTGGTTCTGAGGTTTTGTTGTGGCCTTTTTTTTTTCAGGGCAGTTAGAAGGAGAGGCTATTTCCAAACTGTAGTTAGGATCTCGGGATTGTTTCATTTGTAATTACTATATTACTAATTACTACAGTAAATTAAACTACCTGCTAAGCCTCAAACTGACAACAACAAAGCACAGCAGAAAAAACATTTTTAAACATCATTCTGGGCTGTGTTTAGTATGTGGGCAAGCATGCACCTACCTATCTGTGTTATGGCAGCCTAGCAGAATACTGTTTATCAAGACTTGCAAAAACTGTGACCCCATCACTGGGCCCAACAGCCAGATGATCCCTTGACTTCACTTTTATTCCTCCTAGGAGGACAGGAGAGTTTGCATGAGAGTTATTTCTAGTGGTGTCAGGCACTGGAAAAGCACCTCTGACTGGGGTAGGTTTTGCCACTTCTGCTCTGACTGTAAATCTTGAGCACCACCAAATGGTTAAAACTTATGTTAGCATCCCCTGAAAGTGGAAGTCATCACACAGTATTGCAAACTGATTTAACTTGAGTAATTTAGCTTAGTTTAATTAATGCCAGGTCTTACATACAGAAGAACCACATCAGCCTGCATTGCTGTAGTCCTGACTCCACAGTGGGGTCTGAAACCCCAGAGATTCTTAAACTATTATAGTCAGTTCCACTAGAGGACATACATGTTTTAAATTAGAATTTATCTGCATTAAATAGAACTAAATATACTAGCTGATTTTTCCACATGAAATAACTGTTGTAATTAAGATTGTCATTTGGATACATTCTTTTAAATACAACAAATTTCCCTGATTGATGGATCATAAAACTTTATTATTCCCTTTTACGCTGTTGTCTCATTTGCTAGTATATGCATTTTAACTTCCAAGAGTTGATTTTAATGTTATTTGGAAGCAATTTGTAACAGCAAATAGAAGTGTTGCTGTTACAAAACAGTGAGTTTTGAGTTACAGCCAACCACAAAGTAAGTGTTCAGTTTAGCTTTCAGGCCATAGAACTGCAGTGGGTGGGTGTGGGTGTTACATGCATAAGCCTGGAGGAGAATTAAATATCCTACATTTGATTCACAAATTCCAATTCTCTTCTTTAAGAAGTGAAAGGAAGAGTGAAAAAGATGAAGCTAATGCATATTTGTGTTTTTTCCCCCTCTGTTGTTTTCCCTGCAGTACTCGTGCAAGCTGAGCCATTCCTAAAAACGAAAGCAGTGCTAACTTAAATGCATAAAGATGCATTTTAAAGCAACAAGATTTGATACAGCTGAATTTAAAATTAACAGCTAAGAGCTAGGTCTCATAGTGATCATCAGCTGCCCCTTAGTTTTAGAGCAAGGAGAGGGTAGGCAATAAATACCTCACAGAATGCAGGCCTTAGTTTATAGTTTTGTGTCCGTTTGCAAATACAGCCTTGACAATGGATATATGCAATAAAGTCACTGATACTTTGCAGAAGCACACTTCTGTAACAATAGGTGAAAAAGTGTATGGCACAATTGTCAGACTGCTAGAAAGCTTGACGTCCTTCCTGCTTAGACTAAAACGTCTTCCAAACACAGCACTGACTGACTGTTCTTCACTGGCAATTGCAAACTCCGTAGATGCACATTCTCTGCAACTTTTGAAACTGATAACACGTGTTGCTTTTCCTAATATCAAAGCACATTAATTGTGGGATTCAGTCAACTTTGGATGGTTTTTAATATATCTATCTTCTTCTCCAAGTAATATATAGCCTGGCACTTTGATACAGCAATGGATTACCTAGTAACCAAGTGCTTTTTTTTTTTTTGAGGAGAGGGGTTAAGGCATTTATAATCAAGATTACTGGTCACCGAATGTTAGTGGGCCAATATATGCATCTAGGTAAGTGGAATCATGGGACACAGGGACTTATTAACAAGGAAAGTGCCTTGATGCTGGATTGAATGGCTAGCAAATGTAAACATTAGGTCAAATTTTACTCTGTACTTAAGGTAACTATGTCTCACTAAGCTACTGGTAGTTTGTATGCCAGCTGTAAAGGGCTTGCATACTCCAGCCAGAGGTTAAACTTGGAAACTGCTGCATAAACTGTCGCTATATGAAAAACTGTGTTTTAATACCAGTACACTATCTTCATTCTTTTGCAAGCTGCATGTTTATTGTCATGTAAACTCTGCTTTCTACAATTTACTTTTTACTGTAATTTTCAAATGTCTTCCTCTTTGTTACCCAACTGAGCCTGGATGTTGCATTTGTCTACTACATAATACACAAAACAAAACAAAATTACATATATACTTTGTGTGCTGGAGTGAGTGTCTTTGTAAAGCTAACTTAAATAATAATCACAGAAGTAGAGTCTGGGTGCTGCCTAATAGGCAAGAAATTAAGAAACGTTCCCAGAGAAAGAAGTGACCACAGTTGGTCACAGAAGTGACCATACCAAGGCAAAATGTGAGACAGCTTTAATACATAGTGCTTTTGTCTCAAAAAAAATTATATATATATAGATATATACACACACACACACACATTTATATCTATATGCATAACAGTTAGATACCTATCTGGATTTAGTGGGGAATTCAGCAGCAGGTGAACTCTTTTAATCCTTCTCCTCTTTATAGCTGTCAGTTGCAACTGTCTGCAGCTAGGGTGGTGAGATAGATTACTGCCCCAGGGAACTAGCTCCATTCCCACTGCTGTCAAATTTGTATATATTTTTTCTGTGTTCTTGGCCTTGTGATAACCAGCAATGCTTGGAAGGGATGGCCCCATCTGACTGTAGCTCAGCAGTTTGAAAACAGCAGTCTGAAGAATCACATTCCAGGGAAAATTGTTTGTGTGACAAAATTGGGAAGAAGAGTGCCAAAAAGAAAATTAGTTCTAAGAAAAATTACAACAGCAAGGATGAGCGTATAATGGGTAGTCCAGTCTAGTCATGCAGACTTATTTCCAAGAAAGGAGTTAGAATTGCATAACTGGCTACTTCTGACATTAGCCTTAATCTCGCTGGGTTTTGCTTTGGTTTCCAAGGGATGGGGATGGAGGACCCTCAGTTTTCCATCTCAGTAACTGAAAAAGCACAATCGGATCTTCTGATGGTCAGAAGATGCTCACATCAGTATGGCTTCAAGGGTAGCACTTGAGGAAAGACAGCTCCCCCCCCCCCAGCAAAAACTCTGGCCTTTGTAGGCTGCAAAGTTTAACAAGGGCAGAACCACCCCTATGCATTGTGTGTATCCTCCCAGCATCAGGAATCATTTCTTTCCCTGCCACAGCAGTGATCCCAGGACATAACAAGCAGGTTAATGCTTCAGTGTAAAATCATGTACAAATCTAATACTAGACTGCTTTTTCACAGATAATTTCAGCACTCCAAATTTTTAGTTCACTGTGCAGTTTTCCTAATCACTATTTCACATATGGCACCTTAAGTTTCCACAGGAACATCTTTTGTGCTGCTTCTTTACCTGAGCTCAGAGCTGTTGACCAGATACAGCAGTTAAACAGTTGTACTTGACCATATGGAGAAGTGTATGCAGAAGAGGCGTTAGCAGCTTCGTCATGACTGGAGGTCTCGATTCTGACAGCACAAAGTAACTTCCTGTAACTGTTAAAAGAAACAAAGGAAAGCGGCCAGGACAGTGAATGATGGGAATGCTGTGCTTTCCACAGGAAACGCATACTTCTGTAGTTTGTACATGAAGCCAGCAGAAGCTTGCCAGATTCCGTGGAAGAGCTATTCATCCGCATGGCCCGGCTCCAGCAGGGCCCCAGAAAAGCTGTGGAAGCAGCTAACCAAATGCAAGAGATGATGGGGCAGCTCAGAGTTTGTCCGTACGTGACAAACACCACAGCAATACAGCGCAAACAACAGCTAGCGGTGATTAAAACAGATGTTTAGACATGCCCTCTCACCCCCCGCCGCATCTCAAGGTGGTGTGTTTGGAGTCCTGCGGGCAGGGAGGAAATACTAGTTCATTTTGACTATTGATAATCAGAGTAACATTGACCCTGTCTGCAAAAAAAAAAAAAAAAAAAAAAAAAAAAACCCTTCCATGCATTTGCCTGGTATATATGCTGTTTGTTTATGGTACAGTAGTCCATCTATCTTCCCAGCAGTCTCCAACAACCGTGAAGTAACACTAGCAAATCCAAAATATCCCTCCCTGCCTGCAAATAGCTAGGCTGCATGAATGAGAGGAAATTCCCAGTTCAGCTAGGGAGGCACTCTTATATTCCAGCCTGAGCCCTCACTGTAGGATCTCATCTGACCTATTGCTAGAGGTGAGCGACAGCAGAGGGAAAAGCAGGATTGGAAAAACATATCACAAGGCAGAATTAGAGGCCTCAGGGTGTATATATACACACACTGCAGTGTTACTAGTTACCCTCTCCAGCCACCTCTCTCTTCTCCCAGCTGTGCCCAGAGTTATAGTGAGAAGCAGACTCGAAGGCCTGCGAAGTTGTTTTTGTTTTCCTCTACAACAGCATATAAATAGTTGTGAGTACGGACTGGCCTGAAGAAAACAACAAGCTCTGATACAAGTTGCACTCATCCGCTGCCAGTTGCTGCTGCCACAGTGGGGAAGAAGGGAGCACAAATGAGCAAACAGGGAGGTGCTGGATGAAGTTAAGAGCAAGTAATTGGAGTCCAGCCTTGCCTGCAAAAATGGAAACATATTGTGTGCTAATGCCCTAGGCATCGCACTGGTCTTCCTTTTATGATAATCCATAAGTCACCCAGAGCTGGCTCCAGGGGTGAGTGTCAGGTTTCAGTAAGTGAAACCAGAAGGCCCAGGAACAGCTCTGCAGGATGGATGGCTCACGTGTCGACCATGGCCTGCTCCAGCTCTCAGCTGGTGCTCCACAAGCTTCTGGAACTGACCTCTGCTGTGATCACGCAACTTTTTGCAGCAGATCTTGGGCATCCAAACCCAACACAGAGATCCTCAGAAAAGCAGCTCTGCTCTGCTATTCGCTCTGGAAGTGCCATGCGCGCTCAGAAGGCTGCAGCCGAAAGGCAGCAATGTGCTGGTGCAGTTAACGGGAAGTAGCAAGGGAGCACTCCCGTGCTGTGGGTTACAGGCAGGACCCTGGGCATCATCTGGAGGCCTGGAGCACTGCAGAGCCTCTCCGTACCAGGCTTAAAAGCTACACAGCACGGTCGTGGTCCTAACCTGCCAGGTATGCTTGGGTCAGCACAGCTTGGGTCAGCACAGCTTGGCTCCAGTCCAGGGGCATCCCACTAGGTTTTCTCACATAAGGGCACATTCAGCTGACCTGTGGCCATGCCAGGAGGTGGCAGCATTATGTCGCATGTAACATCCAGATAGGGTGACTACTCCAGCCCAGTTCCAGCCCTTACCCGCTCCCAAATTACCCATGTATTTTTTTGATATTTCTTTTCTGATTACTTAACAAATTCCCTTGGCGTCCCTTCTGCCTCTCCCATTGGCAGCAAGAGATCAGCACATTGTCTCTCACTGTCATTACAATCCTGAGTGGGCCATTAAATCCAGACCAGTCAACAGACTCAGTGCCTGCTGTGCTCCCAGATAGATAGGCCCATGTCTCATAGCTTCCAGTACATGCTCCTATCTGTCAGGAATCCTACAACAGCTAGCCCACCCAAAACAGGCCTGGATTACTGGTTCCTTGTCCCTGTGGACTGACAGCTATGATTGATAGGGTTTGCTAATAGGAAGTCTATTCTCATGCATTGCTACAGCCTGAATCACTACACTGCAGCGTCCAGATAAGTAATTAACGCCACCCCCATATGTTAGCAATATACATTCCCATGCACTTTGGGAACAAACACAGAGCTCTCAAAGACCGTTTCTGGACCAGACATGTGGCAGCGATTCTTTCTGCTTGAACAGACACAGCTTTTTCCCCTGCTCTGAGGCGGCTTAACAGGGGAGAAAGACCTTGCACAGCTCTGTGTACATTAAAGAACCGCCAGGGCCAACTCAGTGTACACAGCTGCTCTCTGTCACCAGTGCAGGACTGGGTTATGGACAATGTGAGGGTGCTTGTTAGGGAGAGATTAGCACTAAGATAAATTTTCCTTATTGGGAGGATGGTAATAGGCCTTAAAATGTACTCCTACTGCCATTTATATGGTTACTTAGGCTTACAGTTGAGTCAAACCATGTAACAGGCACAGACAGCTAACAGACAGCTGCCCTGTCTGTGGCAGAGCAGTGGGCTGGCAGCTGGTAAAGAGACCTCAGCTACTGGCATCTGGGACAACAGAGAAGTCAAGGGAAGATAGGGAGGGCCCTCCTAGAGCATAAGCAGCTGTTGTAGCTCCTACAAGGCTCTCGTGACTAAGCAGCCAGCCCTAAGAGCCCAGCTCAAGTAGTTTATGCCATAGCACTGCACTCAGCTCCAGAAATCCACGGAGGGATTTGATTTCCTGCAAGGCTGAGCAGCCACTAACAGCTTCACACGCCACATCTGCTGCAGCCCTGGCCCTGTGACCACAGCTCCACCCTGGCACAGCCAGCCTCTGCTCCGCAGTCACACACTCACACACGCCATAGCTTCACTTGCTCCTCTCCCCGTAAGGGAGCCTTGGGTGAGGATGTGCCATGTCCCGCATGAGAGCACACCAATACTGACCCTGCCTGTCTTCTTGTGCCTTAGCCCTCCTGGTGCATGTGCTCCCAACCCAGTAATTCAGAGATTCCCCAGTTTGTGCACTTCTTGCTCCAACCCAGGGATCCTTGTCCCTCTGCACCTCTGCAAAGCCACCACCAGTTCTGACATCTCCTCCTTCAAATCCTCTTCCAAGAAGAAAAGTTATAGAACTGGCAGGTAAAAGCCAAACACCACGACCTGGGCCCTGTTGCCAACTTGCCTGACCACGAGCGCGGGGGTCAGCAATGCTTTGCAGCCTGGCTGCAGGCCTGCTCGCTCCTTCCCTTCTGCACCAGATCTACGGATGGCCTTGGAGCTGCGCTCTGCTCTGCTCCACTCCACCCTGCGGAGAGAAAGGGGCCGTTTCCTCTTCACCTCCCCATCTTCCTCTCCCAGACAATTGTCAGACAAACATTTTTGGCAGACAAGTAATTTTGTTAGCCCCAGGACAAAAGCAAGTGCCTCTAGAGCCTTCTCAAGGCAAGGCACTTTTGGCAAGTCTCCACTACACCTGCCTTTACTGCACATACATGGCAGAGGTGTCATGTATTGGATACATACATACATACGAACGACATCAAGGCTTTGCAATAAACATCAACACAGGCAACTGCTTACCAGCTTAGAAGCTCCTTACATTGTAATTTCTTATTTCAGTCACCATTTATTAGTCTCAAACAGGAGCAGTGGGGTGAGAAACTGGTGGCATTTAATGAGGACTCTAAAGGAGAGCTGCAAGACAGAGCTGGCCACCACAGCAGAGACCTGTGCTCAGCAACTCCAGGCAGGCAGCAAGTAAGCATGCGCATTAAAGCGCTATTAGTTTCCTTGTTTAAATGCAGCTTATTTTTCAAGCTCTATTTCAAGGCTGGACTTTCAGACCTTTCTTCCTAAATGCATTCAATGACGTGTAATGCCCATTCTGGCATTTCTTACACTGATGTGGAAGAAACCAACATGGTAAGACTGCATAAAAGCACTAGCTTTTGCAGCAAAAAACCCAAGCTGAATATCCAGGTTTTCAAAGTCATTTGTAAACAGTTCAACTTTCTTGCACAGATTTCTTGAGTGTTGATTTTTGTAAGACCAGCTATACGTAGTTGTGCTTTCCTATTCCAAAGTGATTTTTTTACTCATCTTTTCCTGGTTATCTTCCTCCTTTAAGTGAAAATAGTAACTATTCCCATAGGTCATAATACTTCCATCTGTCTGTATCAGAGAGCGTTTTATTTATTTGGTAGCACAGTTTATGCCATTTCAGTACAAGAGGTTCACCAAAAGTCTGCTGCTCTTCACATAAAACATACACAATCTTTTGTTACTGTGGTAGATACAGATCTGTACATGAAAGCAAAATAAATCATGACATAAGAATAAAAAAAATAGAAATCATATCATTCTTTAAAATTAGTCTGAAAGCAAAGCAGGAAAAAGAGACGCAGTAAGAGTACAAATAATGCAGATAAAAATGTCAACATGGAAACACTGACAGTAAACAAACTCCTTTAAAGACAGTGAAACAGACTTATCCACAAAAGCTGGAGAAAAACTCATCATGCTGCAAGTGCTTCTGTCCAGAGAGAAATTGAGCATAAACTTGGCCCTATCATTTTTTATATATATATATATATAATATATATACATATATATATATACATACATATATATATACACATACATATATATATACACACACACAGGTATACATATGTATGCACACACATGTGCTCATGCATCTGTGTCTGTATCTCAATCACCACAAGACTAAACCTCAGGAACGGGAGCAGAACATACACAAATTAGAGAAAACCCATCCAAGAATTTATCTGAGGACATGGCAACAAAACCCAGTTACCAGGAGAGAAGCTGTGGCACATGAAGGATTCCCCATTAGCTGCACTTATCTACATGCTTTTTGCCCACATGGGATGTGACATAGCCAGCCCACCTTCAGTGAGAAGTGAGCTACCTCACTTTTAACTTAAACTAAGAACAGGAACCTGGGCCATGTCTACAGACTAGTGGATCTACTAGTGAAAATCCAAACCTTAGATAACATCACAATAACTTCTTTGGTAGTTCTGCATCGAGACAGTCAGAAATAGATGGCATGAGAAAATTATAACTGATCAACAGCACTCAGAGGCGGCAGAGCACTCCTAGCAAGTACCATGACAGCGTTCCCAGAGCAGCTCGAATCATTCAGAGCAAACATTTTCCAGCTTTTGCTGCCAGGTGCATTCCAGTGCAGGCAAGAAGTGCCACGGGAACGTGACCAGCCAGGCACAGGATAGCGGCAGGATGCGGTACTGAGATGCTGAGGTATTGCAACATGCAGTGGCAGGATGCAATTCTGAGACGCTATAGTATTGCAATCTACAGTGGCAACTTTATCAATGCAGCAACGATGATTTAATATACTGCTTAGCAAAGGATGGGCAAATTTTCTGTGCAGTGTGGAAGGACTGCATAGAGAGGCTTACTGGAAAAACTGGCTGACATGAAGAGACAGGTGAAGCTGCTGTTTTTGTAAGTTATAGTCACTACCTACAGCAACTATACTATTAAAATCAGGAAAAAAGCTCTTCATCAGAATAAGTAACGAAGTAGTTATTTCAGGAAATCTACCCTAAACCTAAAAATGCACTTCATTATAAATTTGAATTTTACTTTATATTCATGCTTGGAATTTGCTGCCCCCTCTGGATAAAGGATGTGATAGAACAACTGCTTGGCAGTAACCATGCCTGATGCAGAACAAAGGCTTCTGTGCTCGCTTCACAGCACCAGGGAAAGCAGATGCTACACTATCAAGGCAGGGACAGAGCCCTGCAGGGAGGCATGGCTGGAAGCCCAGGGCTAGGGAGATGGGAACGTGCAAGGGGAGGTTGAAGGATGGCAGAGGGAGAAAGGTCACCCTCTATTCAAGATGAAGCGTCTCCCCATCACAGTATACTAGAACAATTAGCATCCGTTCAGCTTATATTCAGGATTATCCTCTACTTTGATTAAAACACTACCTTCCAGAGAGAGAACTTGCACTGTGTACAGGAAGAGAGGTGAAAATTAGCAAAATCTAAACTCACGGGTCCACATTCACCAGAAATGATTCACTCTTACTTCCTGTCTCTCACCACTCACACACAGCAGTATCGTGGGGACAAGTGCAATCTTTTTGAAGCTCATAAATAGCAGATGCTCTTTTGTCAGGCGACTTGTGAGAAGCAACTGAGCCCTTTCAAGAAAAAAAGCAAAAGCAGAAATAGATGCATTCCCAAAAGATAAGCCAAACTCAGGGCCTATTGGTGATCCAAGCTATGTAAGCGCAGAAAATTCACTGGAGATGAAAGCAAATGCTTTCATGGGAGAAAGAAGCAGACAGCAAAGGCAGCAAGCCATGAAGGCAGCTGGATGTAAGAGTTTCTGGGCAGTACGCTAGTTAGGAAAAAAAACTTTAAAAGCAAAGGGGCTGTCCTCTGCTATGCTGTTCTTTTCTATGTTCAAAGGAACAGGTTTTTTGTTTTAAATCAAAAAAGTTGGCGTCTCAGAAACTACTGACTCTAGCATCAGTTTCTTCTCCAAAAAGGAAACAAACAAACAAGGAAAGGAAACAAAAACTAAAACCCCTCCAGGCTCCAAAAATCAGCTAACTGCTTGAACTACAGAGAGTAACAGAAACACAGCCTAGGCCCATATCCCAACTCTGTAAACATCTACCATGAAAAGTGATTCCAGAAATGTGCTGTGTTCATTTGTTAGAATTAAGGGTAAGAAGATACTTCTTGCATTTCTCTTATGTTGTGATATAAATTGCTAACGTTTCGCTTCATTTCAGAAAACCTTTCAAGGTCTCCTTTCAGGATAAGGTATTGTTTTTAGCTCAGTTAGGTTCTAAGTGGGCATCCCAGAGCATTTACCTAGATTTTAATCTTATTCACATAGACTCTTACATTCCTGAACACCATTTCATAATCTTTCCATGATTACAAAATGTGTTACTTCTGCAAACTCTATTAGCAATGTCTCATATAACGGTGAATTTCTGTATATCTTACCTTTGGATAGGACAGCTCTACACTCGGAGTATTGTAATGACAGACCCAGAAAATCTAAATAAGGCTGCTTTTCTGAGAAATAAGTAGTCATTTCAAAACTTCAGCTGTCTAGAGCCGGACACTAAAATATAGATAAGCATAAAAGTTGGCTCAGTCAGCATCTAGTGACGATAAAGCACTAAAAACTCAGTTTCAGACTAAGCAACGCCTGAAGAGCAAAACAACATAAGGGGCTGAGAAAAACGCTGATCGTAGACATTCAAACTTGAACGTGTTGACCTTATTATTCTATACGACTTGTCAATGTTAAAACACTTTGGAAATATAAACCACCATACTACTGCTTGCACTGGGAGAACACAAGCTCGCTCCAGGCTTAGCTGAACTATCAAGTTACAGGAACTTAAATTACCATGCATCAGCTGAACTACATCAACTTTCCCAACATCCACAGCCCACAGCAAATGAGAGGGGAACGTAACCCTCCGCCCTCCTTTACCACTGGCAAAGCTCCCCTGAATAACCTGCTGCTGCTGCACTAAGGACCAGAGAAGCAGACATTATTAAGCTATAGCATCTAGACTGCGTCCCTGAGCCCTGAAGTACTAGTATCGCAGAGAAACTGAAACGAAGTTACTTTAATGACTGGATTTAAACTATTCCCCTTCCTTTTAGTGGACAGCAGTTTATAAAAGCAGGTGTCTTTAAGAACTGAAGAAAGGAGAGCATACTACAGCATGAAATACCTACTCTGTATTGACTTTGCAAGTATCCTGTTTTCAACAGAGTTTGGAGAACAAATCTACACCATATACACATCTATTTTAATGTTTTGATATTTTACTATTAAAAACTCCCATTTCACAAAAGAACATTTTACTCAAACATCTGTTCCAACTTTTGGATTGTCGCTGTTCATTTTCATATTCTGAATTCAAAAGAACCAGATAATACAACAGTTTGGATTATATAGTGAGGTAGCATGGAGTGGCTTCACTCACAAAGAGTGAGCAAACCAAGCACAAGGAAGCCCAGGAAGAGATCAGTCAAATTACTTAGATGGAACAAAAGTTAATTAGAACAGTTACACTTTTGTCAAATCTGGAAAGAAAAATTTTTGTCAAGTAGCAAAACTGCAAAGATTGAATATTTGAAAAGAGTGCAGAATTAACATTTTGGTAATAAACAGGCCTAATAAACATTATGACTAAGAACAGCTTTGCACTACAAAAAGAATACTTCATTTTTTTGTTAGCTTCATTTACAAAACATGATCCTTTGTATATGGGATAAAAATGCTTTCGGTATGCCCTATCTTTAAGGCAATGGAGTAGAACATTTTCTGGTAAATTATGAATAACGATAAGACAAACACACCACAAGAAGTGAGTTCAACCACTGTATATTCTATTTTTATGTTGCTGGGAGGCAACAACTACTTGAACTTACAATAAGCCCATAGACCTAAGGGCTCAAGACTCACCAACGCTGAGGCTACATCCTGCTTCCTGGTATTAACATGGCAACTAACACAAGAGCAGCAAAATGAGCCTTCCATTATCTTTGCAGTCAACTTGAAAACAGCGGAGCAACTCAAAACACTAATTCAAATCAATACTTGTTTAATATTAAGTTTTATGCAGTCACAAAGTCATTTGTGTTATGTAAGTTCTATTTGTTATTTCCAAGTAACATTTGGCAGAGTATCTTATTCAAATATTTCAGAATAGCTGTTGGCAAAGCCTAAAGCTATTGAACAAATTGTTTCATAAATTACTTCTTATAATCCTAAACAGCATAAAATCTGTTACTAAAAACATCACTTTGTATATGTTACTACTGAGGTTTAGAACTGCCTTTCTTGTTATATAAGCAGCTTGCCAAGCATTGTGCTGCTTCATCTTCAGTATTTTATATTCTGATGTCTTGGTGAGCAAAATTAAAACATTACAATCTAATACATGAAGCCCTACGGCTGCTATAACAAAACCCTTCTCAAATTCATTGAGGGAGATTTCAGAGTTAAAATCAGAGATTTCTTTGAGATAGAGCTTCAAAGTTGGTTCATTATCTTTTCCTTGTGAGATTTCTAATCTTTGACAGGATGAGACCAAATGATTCAGTATCATTCAACTGCAGAGACTACCAGCTGAAACATCACTTTCATGACATTGCATTGTGTGCACCACAGTTCAAGTCTGAGGCTGTAGATAACACAGCATTTTAATATTTTTTATTCAGAGTTGAATACATCTCTTTTTAATCTGTCATTTAATATAATAAATATTTTTGTAAGAATTTTACAGAAATAGCCTCTTTTCTGCTGAAAAAAAAAAAAAAACCTGATTGAGTTTCCTGCTTAATTAACATGTTCATTTCCTCCATAAAACAAACTGCAAGTAGTTTTATGACTCATCAGACAGACCTTACAGCCTTCCTGTAGAAACCTCTAGTTCTAACTTAGAGCACATTTTGGGATATTTTGTAGATTTAGTGTTCAATACTTAAAGGAGAAAGACTTCCCTAGATATAAATTCAGTTCTTATCCCAACATAAGATGCTATATTTAGCTGAATTTTTTTCAGTTCAAAATATCAAAACCTCAACTGGGAAAAACAATTTGAAGCTACAATAAATTAGAGGCAAAAAACCAAGAAGATAAGATATCCTGCAGTTAACATGTTGTTATAACTAGAAAACAAAGAGGAGACATGAAAATCAGCACAAAATGCAGAAGATTAAAAACAGGAGACGAGGGGAAGGAAGTAAACAAGCCAACAGAAGCCGACGTTTTTCGAAATGCAGATAAGTCAATAACATGCACGTAAAAAATATCTTTTCAACAAAGACAACTTGTGCCAAACTGCTAACTCAAGAGTCAGGATACAAACAAGATGACGACTGAAATCTAATTACTTGCCAAATAGGAGGAACACTACAAACAAAATCCAAAATCAAACAATGGGTGGAAAGAAGAACAGGAAAGTAGTTCTACTTCATTTAACTACAAGGAATTATTTGGCAGATCCTGGCGGCTCTGTTCAGGTAATCACATTGTGCCCCAATGTGCCACAACAGCCCTCAGCTACTGGTTGCCCAGAGGGAAATCAGTGAGCCACTTGCACTGCTGGATGTTCTCACAGTAAAGATCAGCTTGTTTCAATAAACTGATATGGGAGAACTAAGAAATAAAAAAGCTAAATCCTTTGCCTCACTTCTCATACGTCCAACAGGTAAGAGAAACAACAGCTAAATGAACCTTGACAGGTATAAATGCAGTGTATTAATTACTTCACAGCCTTTCAAAGAGTGGGGTAATTTCATCTAGAGTAGCTAAGACCGTCCAAGTTTGAACACATGAATGTGTATGTTCACTGCAACACTGCCAGGATAAATCTCACAAAGGGACTTTGCATGGAAAGGTTTCTCATGCTAATGAGCTGTGGCCAGACCAAACATGTCCAGTGTTACATAGGACTGTCCTACAACATTTTGTTGAAAAGGAGATACGGCAGTTGACTGGCTTTTGGGTTCACTCTTACTGTGTTCTGCCAAGTTCTCAGAAATGAGAAATTCCCTTGTATTAACAGAATTTTTAAGGTATGGATTGAACACAGCTTTTTCACTGAGATCTGAGAGATTTAAAACTTCTTCCTTATTTTCTTCATTTTGGTTCGAAACATCCTGGTGTTCATGTAAATAATCTTCCAGCATTTCTATGGGTTGGATCTTCTCAGCTGGTATCAAAGCTGAAAGCACCTGACTTCTGAAATCTTGGTCAGTCATTGTATAAGGCATAGATGCTGAAAGATGCTTGGCAGCTTCGTGTTCTTCATTATATGGTATATTTTTATCTCTGTTAATCATGACTTTTGTATTAATATCAGTATATTCTGAAATACGGTTTTCATGATTCATTAGTAGTGAATCTTCATGTTCTTCAGGAAAACAGGGTTCCAAAACACATACGTCTTCCAAGCCGCCTATGGTTTTATCCTCAGATGTTACTCCCCTCAAGAATGAGTTATTCTGTCAGTACAAAGAGATGAATTTGAAGATTATGATAAAGGCAAATAATGTAACTGAAGATTTATACACACACACACACACACACACATATTTATGTATATATTTATATATAATATATGAAACTGCTATTTGAGCTCTGTTTGACGTCATTTTAAAAACGCAGCAATAAAGACCTGATGTGCATTTCAGCTGGAATGCAGTTATAATGTGAAAGACGACTAAAAAATGCCAATGTTATTCTGTTTGTTTCTTAAAAGCTTTTAAAACTAGTCATTTCTGCTTAATAAAGAGTTTCATTGAAGACTCAGAATCAAGCTAGGCTTTTTGCATCTTTTACATTCTAACCAGCCATTTTTCAGACAAAATTTTATAATCTCATCCTCAACAAATTACTCATTCTGTGGAATACTGATCACGCCACTTCATTTAAGTAAGTGTCAAAATTCATTAAGCAACAAACAAACAGTGAAAAAGATGAAGTGGTAGTACAATAAAATATCTAAAGACTGCTAAATCTGATTACATGTTCCGTAACCTATATTGCGGAGAAAGGAGGAAATATCCAGATTTGGCAATCTGAGTCAACAGACTCAACATCCTGAGAAACTATATTTCAGTGTATTTAATAAGTCACGTCCATCAACCAAAACTTCAAAGCATTTTTTATCCTTATCATACTAGAATTAAAGGAATATAGTTTATAAATATGCATCTTTTCTACTAGTTTGAAATAAAACTAAGGATATTTCTTCTTTTGTTTTAGTGTTATAAATTCAATATTTTTTTGATTTAGTCATAAAACAACTGTCAGAGAGGCATTTCCCTTCTGTCTGTTTGATCCCACCTCTAACGAACAAAATTGAGATTATTACCACAGATGCATCAACAGGCCACTCTACTGCAATGCTCTCTGCAGGATTAGGTATGTCAGGCCAGCACACTTTTTTAAACCTATATTGAGAAGGGAAATTTAGTTAACTGACGAAAGAAATAGATTAAATGTCAAAAAAGTCTAAATACGGCTAAAATATCAAACTTTTACAAAGCAAGTCCTTCCTACATTAACATGATCTTTTCCAGTAAAATTATTTTCCGTCATATCAATTTTTTTTTTTAATAAAAGATCTCAACAAATAAAAATTTTGGGCTAAAGAAAAATTAGAGAAAAATTGCTGATATGCTAAAGTTAACTGTAAGCCTTTAAATCAGAAAGTCAAGTACTAACTCATAATTGTAACTGTTTAGCCTAGAAGAGCACAAGATTAAATAATACTATGCCAAAATAAGGCTGTATATGAAAACTGTTGTGATCGTGTTCCAGGATAGTTCTTTAGTGAAGAGGCACCTCAAGTAAACTTTGCTTTAGTGAAAGTGTCAGAAAATTAGAGCAACACTGAGTTCTTACGGCAGCAGCAGATAACTTGGGCTAATTGAAGCTGTAGCTTATAACTCTGATGGAGCAGTGAACAGGAAACAAAATGTCCTATTCAGATTAGGTATATACCTATGCGTATGAAAACCAGGCCTATGTTTGATATACTGCTGGATTGCTTTGCAATTTGATCCAGACCAGAATATGAACACACAGCTACATCTCAAAGTGTTCTGCAGGACTGAAGGAATTTCTTACTGTTGTGAGAAATCTGAGAGTATGTAACACAGATGAAGAGATAAGAGTTGGAAATGATACATATTACACCAACATTGCCTGACACCTCACATAATAAAAAACTTGATTTTAATAGCTTAGAACCACCTCCCCTAAAACAGTAAAGATTAAATAGGTATATTATTATTAAGCTTCAGCCAAACAACCTAGTCACTTTTCATGATACAAAAAGGTATATTTTGTAGCCTTAAAAATTTTAAGGATCATCTTAACACGTTTTAACATTCCTGTGCTCTGAGGAAGCAGCTGGCTGGCAGGTGTCATCTGTGATAGTAGATAATAGCTGGTTAATATTCAAGTATCACCTCCTCCAGGCTCAAGAGCAGTGCATCCCTCTGAGTAAGCAATCCAGCAAAGTGGGCAGGAGACCTGCATGGATGAGCAAGGAACTCCTGGCCAAACTCCAGCAGAAGAAGGTGTACAGCAGAATGTGGAAAAGGGGAGCCACTTGGGAGGAGGAATACAGGGAC